CCTGCTAGAGGTCTATCTTCTTTTTCAACAGAGAAAAATTAACCTTTCAAAAAGTGATATGTTATAATACATTTCTGTCATGTGGCCACATGAACAGGACAGATGGATTAGTTGCACACACAATGTTCTACCCAGATTTTCTGAAAGGAAAAACTTGAATGTGTAGCCTCACTAAAAAGCTTTTATTGTATGGTTTTCTGCACAAGATTTAGTAGTGCGGAGTTCTGTTTTAAGCGTGAGTAGGCAAATATGCTGTAGCTTTTGATGAAGTCCCGAAACAAAAAAAGTCTCACTTCAAATGTATTCATAAATAGAATAAAAAAATCTTGCTCATTATTCCCTTCAGCCTTTTCTCTCATCCATATTTCACTTTTTCTAGACTATTTGAATATATTTGGCATATTTCACTTTTACTTGAACATTTCTCAACTTGACTGAAAGTGTAATTTTATTCTGACATGTATAAGCATATTTTAAAGTATTTCAATTATTAACAATTTAAATGATGTTTGATGCTCCCCAGCCTCTTTTATACCAATTAAAGAAGAACCTAAAGTATGGGATTCTCTCTCCCTTTCTTTATTTTTACTTTAGAAATAAATAGAAATCAACTCCCTGTGTACTCATTCCCACCTGTGTATCACATCCTGACGCCCTCTCTGTTTTGCAGTGGTGTATGAGGCAGGATACAAATTAGGCCACTGAAACGATGCAAATTAAAAATAGTGTATGCTGGCAATCAATTGTACTGTAAGGCTACAGTTTCCTGTTTCCACACATGCTTTGCCTCCAGAGGAAATGTATAATCTATCTACACCTTCAGAAGGTGTCATTTCTGCACCTTTTTCAAAGATTTACTTGTCCAGTGTGTCAAAGTGGAATGATGTACAGTTTAAATACTCCTTCTTCAAACTGCTTAGCCTTCAATCTCATCACCTCAGCATTTTATTAGTTAGACCATTACACTAAGAAAGGTGTAACAATTGACAGATGTCAACTGACATACAACAGATGCTGATATAAACTGTTGAAAATATTAGCTAGATGTCAAGTAAAGGACCATTTCTGTTCATCATGACACAGTATTCTGTGAACCAGTGTCAGCAACATCTTGTCCAGCCACTTCTTGAGTTTTGAGTTTTACAAACATGAGTATTTAGAAACTAGCATCCATGTTGCTTAACTTTGGTATTTTGTCATTTCTGTCTTATAAAAGGCTGAGAATGCCATCAGGACAGTTGCATGCATGACCCCTAAATCTTATGCTGATCAGTTGACTCTTTTGAGCAAAGATAAAATATTGGGAAATATGTCCTCATAAAGACAATTAAACAAATTAGTAAGCAAATAATTGCCTAATTTGGTGATCTTTGGTCTTTCAAGTAGAATTGTGTAAGAGGAGAGCCTGATCCTGAGTTTGGCCTGTTGAGGCAGTCAGCGATTGTGGAACCAGAGCAGACTCCTTATCTGCCCTGCATGACTACACTGGCTATGAAGAGTTAAGAGGAGAGAGCGTTAGAAGGCAATCATTTTCTAAAGTAACGCTTAGCAGAGAGAGTTCTGAATGCATATTTACGCTAAATCAAGAGCGAAAATTTAGAAGTATATTTCTCTTCAGATATTCAAAAGGGCGAAACTTCAGCTGATAAAAATCAGCTGATAAAATCCTACAGCATACAAAGGATTGACACGTTTCAAAGCAATAAAATAACCGTTATATTTATGTCTCCTAGATATTGGCCACCACTAGAAAGGCCTAAACAAAACTTCTAACTCCTGCATCTAATAATCTTGCAAATAAAATTTCTGAATCTAAATAGCTGATGGGATGTTTCCTGACCTTAAAACTACAAGATGAAAGAAAACATGTCAAGCTTTTCTGACAATTTCTATGAAATTTGAAAGTAATTACAGTGACCCTCTTTCTTTCTCTATATGAACAGCTGAAGTCTATCTAATAATAACAAATGTTTCATCTCTGAAGTTCTCCAGAGTTGCTTTGTTTTCTCTTTCTACCTATTCTGTGTGTCTTCTCCTTCTATTTTCTACTGTTAGTCGGCATTCCACAAGTAGTAGTTTAATTTCACCAAGTTTGTGGACTTTTCAAAGTCAAGAAGCTGTGCAGCTGACTCACTTCTGCTTTAGAATAGAGCTTGTGACTAAGGAAAATGATAAAAATTGCAGCATCATTAATTATTTTTGGATTTTTTTAAAGATAATTAGAAGCACAAGTAATTTTGGTTTGGCAGTGATGTTACTGAATATTGTCTGCCCTGTTCCCACACAGCACTGTTCCTGCCTGTGATTTAGCACTGATGTTTTAAACAAAGGATGTTCCCAGGAAATGTAACATCTCCATTAGGTCACTTCAGAGTAGAACAGAAGTAGAACAGTAGAAGAGAAAAAGGAAAGAAAAAATATCTGTTTTTTGTCAGGTTTTCCCAGTGGGCTCTAATTATGACTGCAGTTTATTACAGCACATTTCAGACCTCTCTTTAAATGGACTGCTGTTCTTGCTTGGAGTCCTCGTGGCTTTAGCAGGACTCTCCTCATAAGCAGCCTGCCCTTGTGTGATCAATTGCAGCATAGAGGGTTTAGTTAAGGCTGAGGCAGGTTTAGACAGCAAATGCTTTATAGATGTTGGAAACTATCTGGTGTGAACAGAAGTAAGAACATTATATAAACAATCTGCCATTCCCTTATTGCCACTGGCTTATATAATTATTTGACCTTGTGCAAAATGTGAGAGCTAAATCCTCATCATTTCAAACAGAGAACCAAATTCAATTGTCTCAACTGCTGTATTGCACTGGGGTTCTCCAAACTTGTTCCTTTTAAGGTTGGCCACCAAACAGCAAGTGGCATTTGGCCCTCTGAGGTGGATACTGATTTACTGATTTACCTGCAGCTTCAGCACAGAGTCATGACGAGCCCATGTGTCGTGTAGTCACCCCTTCTCCCTAGCTGCCTCTTTCCTACTCCCAATTATTTTTGACTTCCAGGTATTCTTGAATCATTACAGTTTTATTAAACCTTCTAGCTGTGAAATGTAAATTATTAGTTGGTTAGTGGACTTTTGATGACTCTTTAATGAGGCAACACTGTCCTTGAAAAATGTATCATAAGTTCAGCTGTTAATTAAGCTGCCACTTCAAAAAATAGTTGAGAGGTAATTGGAAAGTGGGCTCATCTTATAAGGAGTAAATTAGTAAGTTCTTTAGGGCCACATTACTATGGGGTCAAACAATGTACTATGGTCAGAAACAGAGTTTCATTAATGTATTTTCATTTTCCATGTTGTTTTTCTCTGTCCTGCCCTTTGTTAAAACTCAACTGCCCTGCTTGTTCTAGGACTTGTGTACTTGTGTTCCCTCAGTTTGTTTTTGGAAAGGCTTTTTTTTTTTTTTTTTAACCATTTTGTTCTTTTCCATTTAATAGAATCAATCTTGCATTTAGTAGACATCTCCACGTCTTCATAATTCACAGTGGCGCATATTCACCCAAGCAGAGCATTTAGCCCCAGAAGGGCAGAGGGCTACTGACAGCAAAGTCAACTGTAGCTGTCCAGTTTATGCAGGAGGCATTCAATTCTGCAAGGGTTAGATGACAAGTCAATAAGATACTGAACTTTTTAAAGAGCAAGAAAGGTAGATTCCACATGAAGGGGACACTAAGCAGAAAGGTTTTAGGGTCATTTCAGCACCTTTTCTAGCAATGGCTGTCAATTTGCTCTCCCCTCTCTTTTTCTCTTCAAAAGCCTTGGTTGCTGACCCTTACTCGGGTTTAGCCATGCTGTACTCTGACAGCAAGTCCACAGAAATCAGGTCTGTAGAGACTGGAATATTATTCAGTGCATGTGTTGGGCTCAGAGAAGATAAATATTTGTTTGTTTTAGCTTTTTAAACAGGATGCAGCTCTCCAGAACTACGGAGAGAGAAAGAAAGAGTGAGTTGTCTGTGCAGTGAAGAAATGATGGCAAACAGGCAGATAAATGTGAGCAGCATTAAGAGAATTAGCACAAGCAGACAGTGTGGAGACATTAGCCTGCTATATGTTTTGAAAGCAATCTGTTCTTGTGCCTAAACCACTGATAGGGAAAACTTCTTCCCTACCAACTACATTGTAAAGAACACAGTTGGCACTGAGATCTGTGTCTATGTGGTCCTGTAAAGGAGAGTCTTTGTAGTCAAACGATGCTTCTGGACAAATTGCACCCTGTTGACCTCGCAACCTTTCCGTACCTTGGGAAGGGGAAGTCAGGCTGGAGCCTAATGTGTCTGCAGATTGAATCTTAGGTGATAGGTGATGCATAAATGAATCAGGTTTTACATCAAGCTGAAGCACAGATGCAGGGAATAAGAAGAGTTCTTTGTAGGCTGGACAGGGATCTTCTGACTACGGAAAACCACCAGGAATTTACAAGAAAACTATCAAATCTTATTGGTGCACAGCAGAACAATCCTTCTTAAAGGCATGTTTCTATTCATTCTCAGAAAATGCAAATGAAATATCGCCCTGTGGCAAACTTTAAATTATAGCATTCACCTTGTTTCACTCCCATGACAGACACTTTGCTCCTGTGAGGTCTTTGGCACCAGTCCCTCGGCTGGCCTTGACACCTTCCCCCAGAACTGTTAGCAGCTGTCCACAAGCAGGCCATAACACTGACCATAATCATGGCTTCAACTGCCAGTTCAGACCCACAATGCCACGAAAATGCACCTCTTTCTCACTAGGTGTAACTGCATAACAGCATATTTCGCACCTGGGACATCTGAGCATGAAAATATGCTGCTCCATTACAAAAAAGGTTCTTCATATGGCTGTTAGCTCCCAATCTGTACCAGTAAGTCATGCTACCCTCCCTCCCCACAACACTAAACCCCTCTCTATAAACCGAATTCTGAACAGTAGTCACCTCCTTTTAGATGGTGATTCAAGACCCCATATTCAACATCCATCACCATTACTTGAACATAGAGTTAGTGTTTGCCTCTTACCTGTTCGGTACCCAGTGTTATTCAGATACACGGCGAAAGTGCGTGGCTCATGAGTGGCCTGCCAGGAGGGAGAAGAGCAGTTTTCATTGTTGGTATATATGTTGTGGTTGTGCACATACTTCCCAGTCAGCATGGAGGAACGCGATGGGCAGCACATTGGGGTGGTTACGAAGGCATTGATGAAGGATGCTCCTCCATTCTCCATAATCCGTCTGGTTTTGTTCATCACTTGTAAGGACCCTGCAATAGGTGGAACTGATTATCACTCTGTTGATAAAAGCAGCTGGAACGTACTGGATGCTATTTTGTCATTAAAAGCAGAGTATCAGCGATGACCTTTCTTTCAGACATCAGTCTCTATTACTCCATAACTTGGGTAATTTTAGAAGAAAATATAAAATCTTTTTTTATATCGATGAAAAATATTTTTTAGAATCCAGAAAGATTGAGTTTGGCTTTTTTTCCCCTCAGGCTTCAAAACAAAGCAGAAGTGCAGACTAATCTAGAAATATAGCATTAGAACTTTAGAACTATATCAAATTTATAGGTCAACTGTTCTTCAAACACTGCTCTAGGAAACAGTATTTCATACAGACTGCATCAATGTGTCAGTAAAATACGTAAAATTCTGAGGCTGCTAATGAATCTATTACAATTCCTTCTCCTTTATCAGATAATCAGAGAGAGAGAGAGAGAGAGAGGGTGGAAAGAGGGAAGGAGGAAGGGAAGGAAGGACTAGATGGTTGGGAAGGGAAAGAGAGAATTTGGAAGTGATCTTCCTAAGAGGAAGTTTCTCTGGACTCAGGATCAGCATGGTTGGCTCCAAAACTAATACACTGTGCTCAAAATTAGATTTTGGAGATGAATGTGCATGCAAAAAGTATTTGCAAAATTCAGCACCTTTCTCAAGAAACTCTTCCATTCTCAACACACTTTTGCATTGATCCAATTTAAATTTTGGTTATCCAAAAGGGCAGAGATTGAAGGGTGAGTGTGAACGATGGGTATGTCAGTATGCAGCCAGGAAATGTGAATTTTAATACTTAGACAATTTTGGCTCTAAAAAGACAATTCTGGAATTCTACTTTCTTTTTTTTTTTTTTTTTCCTTTGGTTTTACAGTTCATTTTTTATAATTGACAGCGGTCAGCTTACATGTAAAATTAAAATTAAAAGCATTGATTCCATGGATAGAATAAGAGTTTATCTTGATGGTTGTGCTTGGATCACTTAAAAAACAACAGAGTTTTAAAACCACAAAAGAAATATCTCTAAAAACACAGAACTGCCAACAAGTTCATCTTTAGATGTAAGCAGTAAAATCTTATGAAGATTAGCTGTTAGCTAATGTTCAGCATGCTCTGTTTTGATTTTGGGCTGAAGAGTCAGTGGTGAGTGTGAAATCCTTTACATCACAATTGTTTTTATTAAAAAAAAAAGAGGAAGAGGCAGTTCTTGAAATGGTTTATGTTTCTCGAGGGATGTGGTTAGCAGGCATGGTGGTGGTGACTAGATGATCTTAGTGGTCTTTTCCAACCTTAATAGATTCCATGATTCTATGATTGTTGAGTATTTCCTGGGGCAGTAACAATACCTGTGTCTTTAAGGATACATTCAGCACCCTGAGCAGAGATAGCCAAAGATTCATTTTGGATTCTTCCTCTTTCAGAGTCTTTCTTTTCTAAATACAGAGCATTTGCATTTGTGCAAATGAACTCAGTACAGATAAAAACCATATATTTAGAGATACAGAGAACTAAGAGTGATTGAGAGCTCCCTGAGCATGAAAGGTCTTCCATTTGTATGAGCGGGAGTGTTTCACTCAGTTGTTAAATTATAATCAAATGAGAGATGTTTCTCATTCTACATGCCTTTGTTTTGGACACATGATTGGCTTTTTCTTTCCCCCCCTCTTTTTTTTTCTTTCTTTTTTTTTTTAATAGCTCAGACATTTTTGAAATGTCAGTTTATGATAGAGCTCAGCTGCAAAGTGCTTGTAGGTGTTTGGATGGGAGTGCACTGCTGTGCTACTCTAATGCACAGTAGCAGCAGCAGGGCCACTGTGCACTTTCATGCCTTTCTGCATTGGAGATGAATAGTTGTTAGAGCGATTCCTCAGTCCTCTGCTTGGTCAGCCCTCTTCTCTTGCAAACCTGCTGTTTATGAGTAAGTTTTTCCTCCAGGTATGCACTTACTGACACTGATAATAGATTTAGCCCCTCTGGAAATTCTGAAACAGACACTTCAAAGCAGGTGAGACTTCCTCATTTGGAAAACAAAACATAAGCAGGAGATAAAACTTGTTCATAGAAGTTATAATCCTTTGCTGTCTGTAGCTCTCCTCACAGCTTGTGCTCTCTACCATCTGGCCCACAGTCTTCGGGGCACACACATTCAGGCACTGTCTGACAGCAGGATGCTCGCGCTCTACATGACCAAGTGGGAAGCACCTGAAGGGAACCAGATAACTGGGAACAGCCATTTTGGACACAGAAGTGAGCAAGTTTTGTCAAACACAAAATTCAGTGTCACTTCTCCAACTATTTTCCTCATACGTTGAGAAATGTGTGGTAACCAAGGTTTCATAAAGAGTAGTAAAGCTGGTATGGATTTTCACCCATATGTATCACAGGTGGGCATCTATACAGTGGGACAGCTAAAACCATCTTGTCTTAATTTGTTTGAAAGCAAGGCAACTGGAAGGTGATGGACTCTTGAAAATCTCAGAACATATCTTCATTTTTTCAGCTTACATTTTTTAGTGCTTTGAAATTTCTAATGAAGCTGGAAAGGAAATCAGACAAATTATGCCTCATATGATGTGGTCAGCTGTGATCTCTTCACCAACAGCTGAAGGCAAAGGATCCATTTATATGTATGTATATACAGACAGAAATCCATCCATTTATATGTATGTATATATAGTTAGAAATCCATTTATTTGGATTTTGTTGGATGGTGCAATAAGCTGTAAACAAGTGGGCAGAGGTAGTTATCTTATTTTAGTTCTTTGGAATTTTCCCCCCACTTTTTTAAGCTTTTTCATACTTCTCCAATATCTCAAAGGGCTCTTAGTTAGGAATACTGGAATTACCAAAGTATTCATTAGTTTTGACTCCTTTTTGACATTACACAAAAAACTGTTCACTGTCAGGATTTTGTGAATTACTGTGGAGTCATGGCGTGTGGGACTGATATGTAGAAGTACATAGGAGAAAGAAGTGATGTAGAAGCTTGAGGACTGAGGAAGTGGTTAAAGACGAGCATAAAGTTGGAAATCCCTATCCTCATTACTGGAATATAGACCTGACCTCAGTGGAAGCTGGGGCCATTGCCTTAAGGAGCAGCAATACACTCCACTCCAGGGGTGCAGTGGCTCCTGGCTCCTGTGGAACCTGGTGCTTTGTCTTGAGGCAAATTGCATCGATGTGCCAGTCTTGAGCCAAATATGAGTTTGCCTCAGTGTCAGGCAGTTCTGCCTCTTCTTTCAGAATCTTGGTGGGGGCTAGAAAGTACACAGAGGTCCAATTTGACCAATCAGTTCCCAGCCCTGGGACCAAAATTCCTGCTGATTTTTCTCAAGAGCTGTGGACAGACTGCTTCATACTGGTTAAGCCACCATCTTCAAGCTGATCAGTAATACCCTTCCTCTGTACCACATTCCTCCCAGCATGTATAAGAAATGACTGGAGTTGTGGAGAAATTTGGGGGTTTTATCTGATAAGTTGTATGAGACAGCAGGTCTGCTAAACTTCTTTGTATTCAGAATGCAGAACTCAGGGGGACAGTACAGATCAATATGTCAGCCTGCTTTGAGCACTAACTAAATGCAAGTTCTCAGGTTCCTGCAAATTTTACTTAGGATAATTCCCCTCTATATTATTTGCACTCATTTTGGTTCAATGCCTACACATGCTCTGGAGACAAATCTTTCTTGATTGAAGTCTGTAGTGCACCTTATATGCTTTTATGTTCAAGCATTCATTTAGAACTGCTTTTAGAAATGTTCATGCTGGGAATATAAGAGCAAATAACCCATATCAAGAGACTTTCAGTCTTGTAAGTTTTGGATCATCGTGCCCTAAGCTTTATTCTGTTTGTGGCATAAAGTGTTACTTCCCATTAACCTCTGGGAAACTTGAGATTTTTTCTCAGGAATCACAAAAGGGCAAGGAGATAATTCACACATGGAAAACAGTATGGCTTTGTTTTTCAAATAAGCAGAATGATTTATTAGTAGAAGTGCAAATAATGCAGTACAGTAAGTCTTGGGGCTGAATCCTGTTTCCTGTGGAATGATCTATGAAAAGGGGAAACCTGTGTCTTCATTCAATGCAGTGGGAATGCATGTATGTCCAGGCTATTGCTCAACTGCTTGTTAATAAGAGCCAGAGCCTCTGTGAGCATCCAGTGCGGCTTTCAAAGAGAGGAGCTCCACAAAATGAACAAAGTGGCTTGCCACATCCTTCCTGCTCTTTCACCACTTGCACACCCTCTCGCAAGACTGAAGACAGCTCATTGGTAACACTGTTCAGAGACGTGTGTCTGCTGACCTACCTTCCCTAGCGCCCTGGAGAACGCAGGCTCTTTCTGACCACAAAAAGGAAGACGTGACTTGACCCTTTTAGTGAAATTTTCAGAACGACTCTATCCAGAAGAAATGCATTCCTATTGTAATAGCTGTATTTTAGGCCAAAAATAGAGCCAGGAACAGCCATTCATTATGCAGCACAGCCAAACAGAGCAGACGTTTGAAAGAGCGAGAAATGAAATAGATAAGATGTACTCAGATCTCAGGGCCTGCTTGTGGAGCTGTGGGGGATAGCTGCTAAGTCAAAGGATTAACCCTCAGTCACAAAATACAATTTATTAGTTGTATTCTCACCATGCGTAAATTATTATTGTATAGTGACAAATACAAAAATGCCAATTAGTCATGAGTTTCCGGGGCTGCTTTTAGATCTAGGCCACCTTTTGTCTACAGGTTTCTGGCTGAATGTATGTGATCTTAGAAGAAATGAATTATTTTGTTACAGATGTTTTACGAGAGAAGCATTTTGATTTTTCAACCTATATGGCATTTTGTTTAAAAATCTACCTTACTTTTATTAAAAGCATGCCTTTCATTTAAAAATCCTAAGAATGTAAGATTTCATTTCATATTGATTTGCCATTTTTTCACCTTTTTGATCCTACCTTCCATCCCCAAAACTAAAATATTTGCTTGGGGGTAACCTAAAATGATCCTCTTTCTCTCCTTAATTTTTCACTTCAGGCAGTGAATGAAAAATCAGTTATATGCATAACCATTTTAATGTCTTTCTAACTTACTTAATAGAAAACATTCAAAGGTCTCCTGAAACATCATCCAAGTCTTTTAACATTTTCCAACCTAAGAATAAATATGTGAAAAATCATTCCTGGCTGAAATACCCAGGTTGTGCTCACATATTTAGTAAACTGGTGAAAGCAAAACTATCTTACTGTTATAAATGGACCATAGTTCTAATAGTTTTCAATTTCAAATATTGTAATAATTCACATAAAAATTAATCTTATGTGTCCTTTTACAGCTGATTTTGACAAGCATGTATTTCCAAAAGTCTGGAGTTAAACCTTATAAATACTATTAAATAATATTTGTTAACTCATTTTCCAAATCCATCCCACATTCTGATATTGTTTCAGAACCAGTACTTTCTCTGAATTTAAAGTACTTGCCTGGCAGAAATTACTAAAAGACACATGAGGAAATGAAGTAGCAAATAAGAATTTTTTCTCACCTAGCTCCACGTCTTGGTCATCTGTGAGCACAAGGATGATATTTGGTCTGATATTTTTTCGCTCCTGCTGCACACGGCCTCTGAACCTCAGGGACTTGAGAGTGGAAGAATGACTTGTCAGCAGTTCAGTACTGAGCACTGCCAAGAGGAGTGCAAACCAGGAGGTCTTCATAGTATTTCCAGTATTTCAATGAAAAAAAACAATTCAGAAGTGCCTGAACTCTAGTTTTCAAGACCTGCAAGGAGGAAAAGAAATTCTGTTCAAGCAATAATTAAACTTCCAGTCACACAGTGAGAAGATGATACTCAGGGAAGTCAAACCTGACACATACTGTCTGACATGACTATAAGCCATATTGTTGAATAGGAGCTTTAATCTATCATTTTCTAAGAATAAACTAAGTCCTTCTGCAACTACACTTTCTCCTGGTATATTCCTCACAGTGCTCCTTCTCCTACACCCCATGCTTCTTTTTATGCAGCATGTTCCGTACAATCAGTACCTGGGCACAGTACAAAATCGCTGAGATGCAGACGTGTTCAGAACATCTGTAGGAGGAGCCCTGCAAGAAGGAGAAAGCAGAAGGTCTGTCAGTCAAAGACCTCAGCGCTGTGCCTGTGCTTCAAAGTCTCCAGAACTGTTCAGTACAGCTTCTTCCTCTGTCCTGAAATAGAAGAATAAAAAAAAAAATTTGCATTCCCCTCAGCTCACCAGCTTAATTTAATACCATACATACCCATGCAGCGATTAGATGGCACCTTGGCTGCTAGAGATCAAGGACATATGCATCCTGTCATCAAACACAGGTGCTTTTGCAACATTTATAGGCAGCCTGAGATTCTGCAAATAAGAGTTAATTCCAGCTTATGGCACCTGGCAAGCAATAAAGCTATTTTAGCTTAACTCACCTGCACGAGCGGCTAAACCCTTACAAAGCAGAGAGGAGAGCAAGCCTGTCATTTGCAATCTGCACTGGATCACAACGTGAAAAGTCATCTTCTCTCTGACAAGAAAGCTCATATTAAGTGACAGTCCAGATGATCTTACCCAGCATTGTGAAGAAGCGTAACTGTCCCTCAATCAATCAGCAGCGGACCCACGTGCCTCATCCATAATGCACAGTAGTCCTGGCACAGCCTTGTCCTTGATACTCCGTTTCCAGACTCGGCTGGATGTGTTACTGGAGCCCCCTCTCCATGCCTGTCAGTCACACAGCCTTGCTTTTGTAAGACCCAATGCAAGCACACAGGCTTGCCTTCGCTGCAGCAGATTTAAACCCGCGGCTGAGAATGACTGATTGGCCTGGGGAGAAATGGGCAGCCACTCATTGAACATTTTTTGCATTACTGAGAGAAGCACTGCAAAACTGTCCCGTTACACAATGCAAGGGAGGGAATTTCTGGGGGCAAAAGGGAAGGGGTGGGAAAGAAACAGTGGAGTCAAGCCTGCTCCCTCTAAGATACTGACCTGCCACATACATAATGTTGGGGCTACAGATGAAGCACAGTGACATCAGTCAGTAAAAAACCCCCACCACCACCCAAGTCTAAGAACACTCAAGAAGTCTGCTTATGGGGAAGGCTGCACGGGAACTGGGGTGGACATGATATAATTAGACTGGAGCACCATGCAAAAGATCTGTGCTCCCAAGCTGAGTTGTGTATTTAGACAAAAAACATTAACAATAAACCTACAACTAAGTGCAAAGAGTGTAACAAAAGCAACACAGAAAAAAAAAAAAGAAAAAAAGAAGTCCAATCACTCACCTAGAAATATGTTAATAGGAAGGTGCTCTAAATTTCAGGGAAGAAGCCATAGGAGAGGGAGGGGAAGGGATCTGGTATCGGACTGCTAGGAAAAGGATTGTGTTCTTGTTTTCACATACACCTTTTATTTTAAGCTTCACAAGCTAAACAGTTTCATGCTTCTCACTCTGGCAGGCTGTAATTACACCAGAAGAGTGCGAATGTCTTTAAAAGGAAAATCCAAGTGTCTGATGCAGAGAGATCCTGTCCTTCATTGTCTCTGCTCCATCAAACATTGCAGCTTCTGACGAGCACTGTAGCACTGCAAAGCCAATATCGGGCTGGGCATTGAAAATTACATGCCATTTGGATGATTACACAACACTCAGGTAAGCAGACTGGAAGTCTGTCATTAGTCCAGACTGACTATTAAAAATACTTCAGTTTTCCTGTATCTTGTTCTAAGCTGAGCACAGAAGCCAACAAAAGCACTGGAGAACAAGATTACTGAAGAATTAAGCATTCTTCTGACAGACACCAGACACTACATGCTCTTGGTGCAAAGGAGAAATATGATTTCTCTACGTCTGATCTTTAAATAGCAAAACTTTGACTCACCTCACAAAGAGTGAAAGGATACCTTAAGTGAGACTCAATGTTTAGTTTCTTACATCAGTTGTACTGTACAGCAAACTTTTTTCAGACAATGTTGACCCAGAAAGTGCAGTCATCCTGACTGCACTGAGCAAACATTGGCACCAACGTGTTTGAATAATCCCCCATGGTATGAAACTGCAAGTTCCTGACAATTACACCTTAGTGCTAATAAAATTCACGCTAACACAAATTAAAATTGACAAGCATTATTCATTTTACCCTCTTTGTGATGTGCTGGTTTTTATAAAAAATCATTTAGCTTTAGATTTTTTGAGCAAGCCAGGGCTATCTTAATTCTTTTATGGAAAAAGCATGAAGAGTTTCTTTTATCTAAAACTAGTTTTTTCCCCTTGATGGATAAAGGAAACGATAAAGACATATGTATGAAATTAGTTAACCAAGTTTCATTGAATTGTTCTTGCACACAAGCACAGTAATACCACCTTTTGTCACTCATAATAATTTCTTTTTTACATAAGACAAATCTTTATTCGGAAATATTCTTTGAGAACCTGCTCTCTTACAGTTCTAGAAGGAAATGAAGTAAAGAAAACTGTCAAAATACAGCCATGACAGGGAAGACAAGGCTGCAATGTTTGTGTTGGATACTGTCTGATAGTCTACAAGTGTCCCTACAGACACTGTAATTTGTCTTGGGAAACAGACAAAAATACGAGAAATTATAAAAGAGACCTTTTCAAATTCACATGCGGATGTAAACATACCAAATATTGTGTAGTGTTCAGAAATCAAGACTGCAATAGGAAACGTTTTCCTTGAGCAGAATTTACAAATACTGACTGTAACTTCTATACATATGCTATTTTACAGATATAAGTTACATTTTTCCAAAAGATTGTACCTTTGACAACTGAAACATTGTCAGCAAATAAATGAAACCAGAGCAGCAGGAAATCCAGAGAGACTATTTTTCCTCATCTGGATGTAATTTTTATTTTACAGTCACTTGTCCCCCCCCCTGCCCCCCAACCCTCCCAGAAGCACAAATTCATAGTTTGTACTCACCTTTAATGGGACAGAATCTGAAAACTTGGTTCTTTAGTTGGTTCTATGTTGCTAGTATTATAACAAGCAGTTCAAGGACTCGTTGGCATGGAGAATTAATTACCCGTGAAACTGGAATTACACTGGCAAAGAAGGGCCACTTTTTGTCAGTGGAATAAAAACTAGGAGGACTTTATTTCAAGGTCTCTTCAGTGACCAGGAGGAAAAGTGAAAGATAGAATAATATCTTTTGAAACTAGCTGTAGATTTTATATTCATTTTAGTCAAGAAGTGTTTAAGGGTTTTTTTTTTTTTTTTTTTGTATTTAATTTGGAACACAAAAAATGACAGTCTATTTTAAAAAAAGATCATTTTCACTTTGAAAATCCACATTGTTTTGACATGCCCATATTTTACTGTGCTCACCCAAAATGCCACTTAGTGTTTGGCCAATAAAAATCTGTCCAAGATCATGCATTTTGTTTATTAAACAAAGTTACTGAATATCCTTAAGTGTATTTCTCCATTATAAGCTTCAAAGCTGTGTGGACTTCATTATGTTTCAAACATTTCAAATGTGGCCTCCACATATCCTTGTATTGAGAATCTGCCTTACATGAACAGATTTCTTTCTTGTTTGTAAATCTGAAGGCAAATGTGGGGATAATGAGCATGGCTTCTGGATGTATAGCTGTCCCCAAGACCATGACATACACAGTGCTCCAGACCAGTAATGCACAACCAAGTGGTAGCAAAGGGCTGATAACTTTATCTTCCCTACACCACATTTCTGGTGTTTTCTTACAACTGTGAAGAGGACGGCACATGATCCAAAGTCACAGTTAAAGTCTTACAAACAAAAATGGATCTACTCTGGACAAGGAAAGACATATTAATAATAAGACTAAAATATACTGTGGATTGTGGAGCTGAGAACTAGAATTCAAATTTTAGTTCCCCTTATGTTAGAAATATATATGCCCAGAAAATTATGAATGTGAGGTATAACAGTGATCCCAAACAAAGCAACTCCTACTGTGATGGCAATTTTATAGTTAAGTGCTTTGTTCTTCATTACTATCCAGTATCCTATTGATTATTACGCTGTACTTAAGTTTCCCTGATTCCACAAATTGTCCTTGTTGTATATAACTAAGATGTATTCCATATATAAATGTTTTGATACTTTGGAGATTTTTGAGATTTGCAGACAAATGTTAGAAACTTGGATGAACATTATCAAAAACATGGAAAAAAAAGCAGGAGATCTTATCATTGCACATGATAAATTGTCTTATGCCTTTTATGCAAAAGACTATTTTGGATAATTTTTTTTTTTTGTGTGTGTGTGTAAATAAATGGATAAAAAAGTCTTCAAAGACACAGAATGCTAAACATCAATCATGACAAGTGTATGATCATTCTTTCCTGATCCCAAGCAGAAGAGTACTATCATCATATGTATTTTATGTATGATCAGTTGACTTTACAGTTTTATCTTTAATGAAGATTTTTGACAGGAATATATCCCTAGAGTTCTCTGTTTCCTTAAAACCAGAATTTCAACAAGAAAAGTAGAAGAGCAATTCACAGCAAAAAGAATCCTGAATATCCAGAAAAGGCAGAGAAAGGAAGGGTGCATGTAATACACTGTAAGCTTGGTGCCACCCTCCTGCTGCTGCCAGATGGGGGACCACAAAGATGATTGGAGGGCTGGAGCATATCTCCTATGAAGAAAGGCTGAGGGAACTTCTATAGCTTGGAGAAGAGAGGGCTTGGTGAGACTTCACTGTGACCTTCCAG